ATTCACTTTATCCCCACCCCCTTGGGCATCATTGCTGGTCAAATGTGATCCCAAGCCACACATAGTCACTTTGACTAGTGCATAAGTGTTGGAAACAAAAGACTGGAGGTAATTTTTTCTCATTTCTCATCTTGAAATGCACAAAGAAGCACTCAATCTGAAATAGAAACATTTAAAATATAGTTAAAACTATTGTTGCAACTTTGCTTGATTGTCATCCCTTATATTCCAGGAACACGAACAGCAATGCTCAAGGTATCTCATTCTGTGCAAGGAATTTCTACGTGGACAGGTGAGGGTTTTTAGGTCGAAAGCTTGGAAAGAAGTTTAAAATTATTCATGGTTGATTAAACAAACTGCATATAAATATGAAAAATACAACCAACAAAGATCTTTTAAAATATATATTAAAATAAATATAATATGTGTTCAATAATATAATGTATAATATCTTAGTTTTAATTAGACAATTGTTACCTATAACAATTAGGATGTATTTATATTGGCGACGTTTCTACAAAATTTTGTACCCTCTATTTATATTAAGTTGATATTAACTAATTTTCCTTAAAAAATTTGTTATTGGTTACCGCGGTATATCAAAACTTGCCTTAGTCTTTTCTTCTTCCACAAAATTATTTCACCATTTTTCCAAACCTAATTTTCTGTTCTCTTTCTTTTCTCTTTTCTATTGTTGTGTGTTAACAGCTAATGAGCCCCAGAGAACTTATGAGGTATGAGGACAGAATTGAAAGATTGGAAAACGAAACTAATCTCCAGGTATTTGGAAATTCAAACTTTGGTAGTGGATAATGAAAATGATAGAAAGCCAATTAAGGATTTCCTATCTGCATTTGACCAGATTATTTACTCTCATTTTAATGAGCAGAAAGACTGGATAAAGCATTTGGAAGAACAGCAAGTTGTACATCATCAGACGTTTCTTTCTCAAGTTAACGAGTTGGAAAGTAGAATGAACCATTTGCAAGAGCAAGTTGGGCATATAGCATCAGAACAGATTAATCCCCAATGCTTTGATGCTGCCAATGTCAAGAATGCAGAATATCACAAAAAAGTGGATATTTTGTGCCATCAAAATAGGCAGTATAATGAGCAATGCAAGCTTCAGGTAACAGCAAGCAGCAACTCGTACAAAATTAAGGCCTTTTTTTACTTTCAATGTACTTAAAATGCCCCTGGTTACTGGAGTGTTATATACTGTACAAAGTAAAGAGCTTTTAATATAAAAATTAGGTAAAACCTAATAGCGGAGCTCCCAAAAGATATGCATGTTGGATGAAGATGTGATGCAAGACTCACATTGGTCAGATTTTGAGTACATGTTTTGTCGAGACTAATTTATTTTTGCTAACAAAAAAAATTCCATGGCACTCCAAAGCACTGATATATACAATTATATGTAAAGAAAACCACTTATTTTGAATTCTTGTGGTTATTTTCCAAAATAAAACTTCCTTAGATAATCTTACAGAAATCATAAATTAATTATTAATATATTTTGAAACTTTGACATTTTTCAATCATACAGGAATTATAAATAATATTAAATGCATTTTGACAGTTTTGGTATTTTTCATAAAATAATAACAAATGCATTTTGACAGTTTTGAAATTTTTCAATCATGCAGAAATAATAAAAATAATAACAAATGCATCGTTATATGTCAATAAAAATTGTTTGCAATTTTGTTGTTTTAAATTCTCAATAGTTGGTATTTTTCAATCTTTACAGTAATCATCAAATAATATAAATGCATTTTGACAGTTTTGGTATTATTCAATCATGCAGAAATCATAAATTAATATTCTTGAAAAGTTCAAACTTTTTGATCTTCTAATGATTATATGTAACTACAGACTTTACACCAATGTCATTTAATAGACAGAACATATTACAGCTGTCACTTGAAGATATGAATTTTATCTTCAAGTTTTGAATTTCTATATCCCACGAGTTAGCACAATATTTCCATGCACCCATGTAATATCCTTTATTTAATCACACAGGAATGATAAATAATA